CCCCGGGGGGTGGAAAAAAGCCATGGCCAAGCCTGCTGGACAAGGAGAGGGAGGAGAGTCTGCGGCAGAAGTGAGTGAGATCGTCGCCCCCTCGCTTGGACGAGTCTGCCGGTTTTGAGTCCCGCTTGTCGTTCATTGTTTCTGTTTGTATTTTCGCTTCCCACCCGTCTCGCACCTTTTTCATCCTTTTCTTCAGTCCACCCCAGATCTTTTTATTGATCCTTTTCTAACTTACATTTTCATTCATCCTTAGACTCCTTCATAAAGTGTCCTGTTTTCTCTCTGCCTACATCCTCCCCTGTCTTTGCAGGCAGATATTGCTAGGAGCCTCGGCTCTATTGTATTTCCTTAGTTGTGTCATTGTCTGTGAGCGTGTCTTTTATTCTTCACTCAACTGGACTTGTGGAAAGTAGAGGTCTTATTTTGTAGATCACACACTTCGTAGTAGCTGCCGTTCCTTGTTGCATGAAGGGACAGACAATTTCGAGATAACAGGAAATGTCAGTGGAAAAGTTTTGTGGGCATTTGGGAAGGATTGTAATTAAGGATCTATATTGTATAGGAGGAAACCTTCCTCTATGCAAGATTAGATGAATGTATCGAAAAGTGCTCTGTCAAGCTGTAGATGAGGCCACATTAGGAAGAGTTTTGTAAAGTGGTCTCAGGCGATTTTAAAAACGATGAAAGAATGAGATCTGATCTCTAATGGAGTTGTTTAAAAACACCCACAAACCTGTAGTTGCAATAGCTGTGAGGTTCTGGAGGGAAATCAGACCAGTGTTGTCCTCATCTACATAGCAAGTTTAAGGCCAGCCTGGTATGCATGAGACCATGTCACAAAAATACTTGAATTTAAAAAGCTGGGCATGATGGCTCACTCCTGTGATTCTAGCATTCAGAAAGCCGAGGCAGGTTTGCCGTAATTAGTTGGAGGCCAGCCTGACTACAGAATAAATTCAAGGTTGTCCTGAGGGAAAGTATTCTTAAAATATCAGAGAGAGAGAGAGAGAGAGAGAGAGAGAGAGAGAGAGAGAGAGGCTTGTATATCTCATATTTATGAAGTTGATTATGTTTGTTAAATGTTCTTTCTTAGGCATTGTACTAGGCCTTGTACCATGTGTTTAAAAAGGATAAAAGTTAAAGTATTACAGGCATTGAGGGGCAAGTTAGCTTTCCAACTGTAGAGAGATGTTTTCATGATTTTTCTTCTTCCACTAGGGGAGGAAATATAGTAAAAAAAAAAAAGGCAATCACACTGCCTGAGTTTGAAGGCTTTTTTTTTTTTTTTTTTGCCTTGGAGCAGGGTAGTGTTGGGAAAGTTAGTTGACCTCTCTGAGCTTCACTTCTTCACCATTAAAAAGGAGTAGAAGCTGGCATTGTAACTCAGTGGAAGAGTGCTTGCCTAGCAAACCTGAGGCCATGGTTGGAGCAGTACTCCAGTAAGGGGAGAAGGAAGTTACTAACAAGGCTATTAAGGTTGTAATAACTTCCATAAGTGCATGGAAACAGAAACAGTAAGACAGTTCTGAATTCTTTTTCAAGTTAGGGTTTCTCTGTAGCTTTGGAGCCTGTCCTGGAACTCACTCTGTAGACCAGGCTGGTCTCAACCTCACAGCGATCCCCCTGTCTCTGCCTCCTGAGTGCTGGGATTAAAGGCAAGCGCTACCACCGCCAGGCTACGGTTCTGAATTGTTAGAGACTTACCTATCCAATTTAAATTGTTCAGCATGGTATAGTACCCACAGAGTATGTCAGTCAAAACTCAAAGTTGAGCCAGGAGTTTTGTGAGTGCATGTGTCTAATCCCGACACTTGAGAAAAATGGTCAGAACCATCAGGAGTTGAAGGCTAGCTAGACCCTGCTACATGAGATCCAGTCTCAAAAAGGGGTGGAGAGGATTTACTGGAATGTTGTAACTGCTTGGATGAAATTTGCATTTTACTTTTAGATGAGATGAAGTTTGGTGTGTCTATTAAACATTATGTCTTAGGCACAATAGTAGGCTTTGTACAATGTGTTTAAAAATGAGCATCAGGTATGAGACTTTTTGTGTCCTTTGTGGTTGGGCAGGCAGTCTTCAATATTGAAAGATGTATCCCCTTTTTTTGGGGGGGGGTTCGTGATAGGGTTTCTCTGTATTGCTTTGGAGCCTATCCTGGAACTAGCTCTTGTAGACCAGGCTGGCCTTGAACTCACAGAGATCCTCCTGCCTCTGCCTCCTGAGTGCTGGGATTAAAGGCGTGTGCACCATCATTATCATCATCATCATCATCACCATCATCTGCCTCTGCATCCCGAGTGCTGGGATTAAAGGCATGTGCCGCCATCATCATCACCATCAGCAGCAGCAGCCGCCCCAGCAGCAGCAGCAGCAGCACCACCACCACCACCCGGTCAGATGTATCCCTTTTTAAATGATCTGTTTTCACAAAATACAAAACCTTCATGTCTGGCTCTGTGTAGTTATAAATAACTTTTTCCATGATCACAGAAGTTAAAAGAAAAGAAAGTCAAGCCAATTATATTTCTTTTGTAATGCCTTTTTAAAAACTGTGAGTTGCAAATCACTACACTTTAAGGAATTCTGGCTTTTTTCTCCCCTTCAAATAATTACTTTTATTTTCAAGTAATTATTTTTATTTTATTTATTTTTTGGGGGGAGAGGTTGAAACAAGGCCTCTCTGTATAGCTGTCCTGGAACTTACTGTGTAGATCAGGCTGGCCTCAAACAAAGAGATCTGCCTGCCTTTGCCCCCCAAGTGCGGGGACTGAAGGCATCAAACACTACACCTGGTGTTATTGTTATTATAATTTAGCTATGTTTATGGATAGGTACATGTGAGTGTAGATGCCTTGGAAGGCCAGAAGTATCAGCTCTCCTAGAGCTGGAATTACAGGCAGCTGAGAGCCAACCATCTTGGATGCTGGGAAGCAAACTCCAGTCCTGTGCAAGAACAGTATGTGCTTTTAACCACTGATCCATCTTTGAATCTAGAGTTTGTATTTCAAGTTTATAAATAGTAGTAAATATTAAAGCAGAATTAGTCACATACATAAAATGAAAAAAAAAAGAGTGTCCTCCCAAAAGTAGAGAATATATCCCTTCTCCAAAAAGGATCTAAAAGGAAAACTGGTAATAAACCTTATATAGCATGAGGACAGTTTTTATCAAAGAAACATTTCCTTCCTTTCCAGAATCCCCTTTATTTTTATTTCATCTTTATTTTCTTCACTAATTCCTGGGTTCTTGAAAACTGAAAGTTTGACCAAATCAAAAGATTTTCCTACCTTTATAAATATACATAAACGAGCTAGGCGTTGGTGTTGCACGCCTTTAGTCCCAGCACTTGGGAGGCAGAGGCAGACAGATCTCTGTGAGTTTGAGGCCAGCCTGGTCTACAAGAGCTAGGTCCAGGATAGCCTCCAAAGCCACAAAGAAACCCTGTCACAAAAAACCCATGTATGCATGTATGTATGTATGTATGTATGTATGTATGTGTACATACATACATATACATAAATGAATGATTATATTTTTAAATATAAAACTTTCTTAGCTGGGGGTGGTCATGGTGGCACACACCTTTAATCCCAGCACTCAGGAGGCAGAGGCAAGCGGATCTCTGTGAATTCCAGGCCAGCCTGGTCTACAGAGTGAGTTCCAGGACAACCAGAGCTATACAGAGAAACCCTGTCTCAAAAGATCAAAAAACTAAAACCAATTCCCCCCAAGACCTTCCCAGAACCCTTTGTGTTACACTTTACAGTTTAATGGGCAGTTGGAGCTATGGCACACATGCAGCAGAAGGGATGCCATCAGTCTGTCTGACTGTCGTTTCTGCCCCTGCCTCTGAGGCACTCTAGTTTATACCAGCTGATGATAATATCAGAACATCAAATCCTACCTAATGAGTTTAGATTTAAACCAAGTTTTTATTAACTTTTCAAACATATAGATATATCCAGGTGTTTCTGTAGCCCCAGCTACTTGGAAGGCTGGATCACTTCAGGCCAGGAGTTCAAGGCCAGCCTAGGCAACATGGTAAGCTCCTGTCTCAAAAGACATATGGGGAAAATACTACTAGAAGACTTAATTCCTGTTGAGTTTTATTTTATATGTTTAGGAAACAGTTCTTCCATTGAGTTATAATTTAAATATTTATCTCTTTTAGGAGATTAAGTGAAAGAGAGAGAATTGGAGAATTGGGAGCTCCTGAAGTTTGGGGACTTTCTCCGAAGAATCCTGAACCAGAGTAAGAGGGTTAAAAAAGATAATCATTTGAAAGTGTTAATAGCATTTGTTTAAATCCTGGTCTTCAGTCAAAAAAATGTTTAATTATATTTTCTTACATTTTATTATCTGTACATGTGTGTATGTGCACAGGTGAAGGTCAGAGGACAGCTTGCAGGAGTCGGTTCTCTCCTTCCACCATGTGGGTCCCAGGGATTGACAGGTCATCAGGCTTAGCAGTAAGCGCCTTTACCTACTCATCCAGCTCGACAGTCGTACTGTCAAAATTTTTAAATGAAGAGCTTCAAGTACTTATCAGATTTTTTTTTGCTTTCTTATGATCTATGCTATTTTACCCCCATATTTAAAAAAACATGGAATGTGGTTAATGATTACAGATACTGCTAGTAGATTGTAGCACATTCATTGTGTGTGTGGGGGGGTTGTTTTGTGTTGTTTTTGAAACATGGTCTTATTCAGTAATCCCAGCTATTTGGAACCCACTGTATTGTAACAACCAAGGCAGAACTCAAACTCATAGCAGTTCTCCTGCCTTAGCTCCCTGAATGCTGGAATTACTGGCATAGATCAACATGCTTAGCTTAATTGCTGTCTTTAAATTTTAACTCATGAAGCACTAATTTCTTACTCAAAAAAACTCATTATTTAAAATAATACATTTATATTAATTTTCATTGCTTTTTTCCCCACTAACCCATTATCAGACTGCTAGGTATTAGCATCAGTGATAAAAATAGAGGTACTTTACTAAGAAAGAAGGCCCTCCTGTGCATACAAATGGGCTAGTGAGCTGGGAAACAGGCACTCAAAAGCCTAAAAAGATTAGTGTGTGCAAGTGATTGTGTGCAGGGGGGTGGGCAGAATTTGAAATCAGGTGTTTTCTGTACTCTCTTCTCTGCCTTAATTTTTAAAATAGTGTCGCTTTATTCTTGTTTTAACATTTATAACAGGTTTATTGAGGTTATAATTTATATTCCATAAAATCCACTTATTTTAAATGAGCATTTGCAATAACATTTAATTGAGCTATACATTTTCCCCACTCCCCTTCCCTCCTCCCCTCACCCCTTCCGCCCTTCTCTCTGCCCTCCACGCTTCCAATTCACTCAGGAGATCTTGTCTTTTTTCCCTTCCTAGGCAGATCCATGTATATCTCTCTTAGGGTCCTCTAGCTTCTCTGTTAAGTTTACATTTGTTTATTTTCTCTCTCACTGTGTGTGGGGTTTGCGTGTGTGTGTGTGTGTGTGTGTGGGTGTGTGTGTGTGTGTGTGTGTGTGTGT